GAGATCTTTGAGCTCTGAAGATAGAGTGGAGTTGGTGCCTGTTGCCTTCTACTGGGAACTGTAGAAGGAAGAAACAACATTAAGCTCTACTAAAGGATGCAAATCCAAGTCTGCTCAAATGTTAAACTCTCTTGCTTTCCTTTGGGTCACAAGCAGTTTTCTATTACTTTCTACAGCTTAAAAACAACTGAACTAATCTTGCTGGAAAGTTGCCAAATTGGCTTTTCACTTGAGAAGATAGATAAAGCTTTCTGCAAGGACTCCAGTGCTTTCTAAACAGATGTAGAGGCTAACCTTGGATCTGGGACTGGCTCTTCCAAGAGAACAGTTCATCCTGTGGATGTGTTAAAATGTCTCTTTCCATTTAAAATACCTTGTCACAGTAAGGGAGCTATAAGGTATGGTAAGCATTCAGTTACTCTGTGCACTTTCCTTCCTGTTCAAAGGATATGGGGAAGTACATGTCAGGTTAGTGAGGGTTAATAAGACAAAAGTATATCTTAACCCTTTACATTTTGCCTAATTAATGTCTGCTTCAAATAACAACCCATTTCATTTACCAAATGCCTGGCCCCAAATACTGTGCATGAAGTAGCACAGTAATATGGTTTATTACTAGTATTGAAGGACTTGTCTTATTTGCTGTGAAACATCTGTGAGATGCCAGTCATAATCCTCCTTTTTAGGGTGTTACTTGAATGACAGTTAGCTTTAGTATGATATTGTACAGTTCCCCTTCCAGATTAGGAAAACAGGCTGGCCTTGTAAGGACTCTGTGAGAAGATGGACATATAGCCAGAGTGTATGAACAGATGGCCTGATGTGGTACTTGACATCTTATTGTGATACTGCCCTTTACCCCCATGCACAGGAGGGCTGAAACTGAGCTGGATTGTAGCCAAATCCCTTAAGACTTCAGCAACAGAGGTAGGAGATGGCTTATTGCTCTAGCTGAAAATGCTGTTTGCAGGAAATGCTTCTGTGCCCACATTCTTGCTCTGGTTAGCTTAACTGTGACGACTTATGGGAAGACAAATCCCACAAAGTAATCTGTCCTATAAAGCTTGGCTCTTAGCTTCAGGAAAGAGGTGGGAATCCCATGACCTGCATGAGAAGGCTTGGAGAGTGATCGTGTCAATCATGTAGTGTCTCTATGAAGCTTTCCAGCACTTCTCCGTCCAACCAAAGTGCAAAGAAACACTATTCCAAGTATCATACTTCTATAAGCGAGAATGCTCTCGGGTCTTCAGTGGTACCAAACTGCATGTCACTACAATCAGCTGCTGCATCTGAAATTCTTATTTTTTTCAGGGATGCTGAGGAGTCTGTCTCCAGGCAACTCGGACCGACAGAGCAGAAACACTAGTTGGAGTGATGAACTCCAGAACAAAGTTATCAGACTCATGGCTTGGCAGCATGCTGTACTCTGACACCTATTTAAAATATCCTGAGAGCAAATTGATCCAGTCTTTATCTAGTGGCTTTTTGGTTAGATGGGCAGAATACCTACCAGTGGTACTGCTGGAACTATAGAGGTGAGGCTTGGACTGGGTGTGGTATGCATGCTCTATTAGAGTTGCGGGCTTTCCACCCAACGCTGCAGGGCTCACAGACTTGCTACATAATACCCTCCAGGGTTAGGAAATAAAAATCCAAGTTTATGTCCTCAACACCCTGCAGTGTCCCTCCTCTGCTGACATATGTCCAGGCAACAGCAAGAAGAATAGTTTCGGATTTGAGCTTGGTCTGTATTGCTCTTAAAATAGCCTCAACTTTGCAGTCTGGTTCTAGATTATTAATATAGTGGAAAACACTGACCTCTTCTGAGGGTGTAATCTTGTTCCTTGTGAGTACACCCACACATTCTGTACTCTTGTCCCATTACTGGAGAAGGATGTCAGGAGCTGGTGTACATGTAACCACTTACCCTTCCCCAGGAGGGTAGGTCCAGCCTTAAAAGTTGATTCTCACAGTTCTTGTCAAACTACAACTTATATCTTGTTTGTGGATCAGTGTAGAAATGTGGTACTTCTCCTGGGAATGAATATGTCTTTTGGAATTTAACTGTGGCATTTTTGGTAGTGGGGTTTTTGTCTTATTTAACCTTGCAGAGCAAGACTGCCTTGTTATCCTCCCTTCTCCAGTGTCTGGAGCATTCTCCCTCTCTGCACTCTGGATGCCTACTTCAGTCACTCTTGCTTTAAAGTAGCTGCCCAGAGACGAGTGCGAGAGGAGGCCACATGCAGTGTCTCATCTACCTCAGATATGTGTGGGGAAACAAAGGTGACCTGTAGTAAATGAAGTACGATGCTGATGCCTGGTAGGGAATGAAACTGATCATGTGTAAAGGGGAAGCAAATGCCTTTTCTTCACTCGCTCTCCATCTGAAGAGAAGTTTAGGTATTTGTCTCCAGCTGGTATTGGATGACAGTCTTGTGCAGACTGAGATATCCCTATGCAGATGCTCAGTGAGATCTTTTAATAGGATAGTGTGCTGTCAGTGACAGATGAACTGATCTAGATGGATGGAAGGATGGAAAGGTGCTTTTGCTTTTAAGCAGAGCTGACTTGTACAGGCCAGTGACAGAACTGTAGAAACAAAAAATACCTGCTTGCAAAACTTGCTGGGGTGGGACAAGTAGTGCTATGAACAGGTCTGTGAAAGCCAAGGTAATGCAAGCTTTTATAGTGTTCTTGTGAATATTTACATCAAAACCGTTTTAGTTTTCCAGTCACCAGCAGCAATTTTGCTATGGCTTATTGTCATGTACTGAAGGTAAGACTGTTCCAGAAACCAGCTGCAGACATGTTGAGTCGTTGTCCCCTTGACATGACTATATCTGTGGTTCCATCTCTCTGGGAAATGGATGGCAAAAAGCTGCAGAATGCCTTGAAACATGAGGCGAAAGGTACAGCACTCTGAATCTCAGAAGTGAAGCAGTGAGGTTCTAGGAGTAACAGGCCTGGCTGTAAGGTCCCCGAGTTAGGCAGGCATATTTGGGGTTAAGTGTGCCACTTGCATCTAAACAGCAACACTTCTAAATGTCTCTACTGTCATCTAATACTCGTTTAATGAGAGCAATGTACTTGCAGCGTCAGGTGGTTTCAGGCTAACCCTTTCTAGAGATGAGCTTATCTGTGCTTGGAAGACCTAGCTGAACTGCCTCTTCCACTTCCTTCATGGACTACTGCTTAGATAGCAGCTATCTGGTTAAGCTGTGTCCTGGCTAAGGCAGGGTAAGTGAAAACTTAACATTGAGTTTGTAGAAGCTGCAGTATTGACTAGCTGCATTTAACTTGGCAGGAGACTGCCTGATCTTCACTTGATGATAAGCCAGTACCTACAGAATTTTAGACCCTTTTTTAGCCTTCAAGGGTTGAATCCTGGATGTCTTCTGTGGTGTGTACTATTTGGTTGGGGAAGGCTGCCATCCAGAAGACTGAATACCAAGCTTCTGAGGTTTTACTTTATGTTGGTCCAAGCTGCTCTGTAAATCCAGTCTTGGAAAATCTCCTGGGAGAATGAAGGAGGGAGAAGATGACATCAGCTGGAAACTTCCCAACTCATTTTGCATTCACATGCAGACTTCAGGTTTATAAAATTAAGCTGAATTTTAAACTTGGATGAAGTGTACTTCTTGATAGATTTAGTATCTGTTTCTGGGCAGGCTAAGCAGTTAAGGTGTTTGGACTGCATATAACACAAGAATGTGAAGCTGCTTCCTTACCAGATAGCAGCCTGTATAGTTGGCAGGGGTCATGCATTTCCAACACAGGCAGTTTGGTCCTAATTGCCCTACACTGTGGGATACCCAGCGTGTGCTGCTAGAGTCATCTGATCTCATGTACCTATAAATCTGGGTGTCTTGTGGAGTCCTACGAAGTCCATAAGAATGCGTGAAGAGTCTGCCTATAGGAGGTGGCACAGAATCCCAGTACTTAGCCAGATCATGAGTACCTATAGGAGGTTGTAAAACTGCACAGAATCCCAGTACTTAGCCAGATCATGAACCTGGAGGTCTGAATGTGGTACTATTTCTGCTGTAGGTTATGATCCAGTCCTTGCTATAGCTTCACCTCACCTGCTTCAGCGGGTGACAAAGCTGAGACTGGCCTGAGGAGATGAGGGACAGAGGCTAAGGAACTTTGCTCTTTACTTTAGAAAAAGCTGTGAAACTTGAGGGAGTCTTTGTGGATACTGTCTAAGACCTGAAGAATGTCTTGACAGAACCTGTCCTCTGTCCCATCTGCCTGGCTGCCAGAAGCAGCTTCTCCTCCTCCTCGCTATGAGACTGCTCAGATTTGTAGCAGACTGACTGTACTGTGAGTAACAGGTGCTGTGACAAAAAGGCTTTGTGAAGAGCTCTGGGAGCAGTAGGTGCCTGCTGGGACTTGGACTGTGCTGATCTCTGATAATGCAGATAGGCACTTAAAACCGTGGATGAGCAGCCACTTGGTGCACCAAAGGTGAAGCTGAGGCATGAGTCCTTGGCACTGAAGTCAGACTCTTTGTTATGTGAAACAGTTAATGATAGTCAGTATTTCAAATGCTTGTGGGTATGATGCCTACACCAACAGGCAGAAATGTCGATGGCTGCGGACCTCCTAGGCTCTGCAGGACATACTGCTCTTTGTGTGGGAAAAGCAGACTAGAACAGGTGATGCAGTCTTGCTTCCCCAACTGCAAAAAATCCCCCAGCTCCCATGGAAGAAAGCCAGTGCCAGTTAACGTGATAAGGCAGTTCTCTGCTGAAAGGATTACAGCCTGAGACAACTTAGATTGCTAGGCCATCTGCTGTGACACTTCAAAGCCTACCTCTTTCTAGCAGTAGTGTAAGACTTCATCAAACTGATCCTGCCTACTGTCAAACGAAGGATCAGCAGTCATAAGTGGTGTACCTTGTTCAGTTAGCTAGGAGGCTTCACCCATTAAGAAGGACAAATAGTTAGCTTCTAACTTGGCTTTCAACTACTGAAAACTAGCCAAGTAGCAGGGCATGATGCCAGCTGTGATGCCAGGGGAGAGTTCTGCCATCGCAGATGAGGCAGCATAGCACAGTAGTACTTTCAATGTAAACATCTTCTGTCCTTTCTCCCCACTGCAGCTAACAGCCTCCCAGCTTCTAACCAGAGTTGGTCTAGAAGCTTTGTTTGATTTAGTTCTAGGGTGTTTGGTCCAGGGCTCAGATCAGGTGAAACTGTCACAGCCTTTAAGACCTGAGACATTCCTCAGGACTCATAACTGCAAGAACACTCACCAGGTTGAATTCCAGCCTTCACAAACCTCTGTCCTGCTTAAAAGTGCAAGACGTGCTAGTATGATACTATCTCCCAACAGAATTGATGAGGAAAGTTGCTAACTTCAGACAAGTGTCCACAAGCTACATTTTTGGTCCTTCTTACAGTTGTTCTGACACCTTGATGTGGAGTTTTCATATTTTAAGCAGATTCCATCGTATTCTTTAAGATCTCTTTTGGAAGGGTTTTGTTAAAAGCTCTTGAGGTCTGCTGTGCAACCAGGCTTAAGCTGTTTCTGCAAGTTAATTCATTTCCATACTGGAAGCTTCGAATTTGACTGGCTGCAGTTCTGGCACAGCTTGTCTTGTACTAATGCTTATTGCACATGGGCAATGAGGAGCTGATTTTCCTTTTGGAAACAGGAACGATTTGTCTACAGCCACTGCGGTGTCCCAGGGTTTGCTTTGCTCTTTACTCTGCTCAGCCAAATTCTCCTGTCTAGCTGAACTGCATATTTCCTAAAGCCATCTCCTGTTGCTAATCTTATCCTGTCTTCTGCTTTTTCTATTTGTGTAACTCCAACAGAACTCCTTATCTGCTGAATTATTGTAGCATTGCTTCTTCTTGTTGTACATGCTCCTGCTAGGTTGAGCCTGAGCCAGATGCTTGTGTAGTTCAAGCTGTCTGCCTCATATATGAGCTGGCAAGCTATGCCACGCTCATCCTGCTCTTTTACCCTCTTAAGAGAGCATTTGAGTACCTACCTTCCACTTCTTGCTCACTTGCCAGTTAAATCTGACATCTCTCATCTGTTGGCAACCACTTCTGAGCGTTAGCTGGGAGAATGCATCTAACCTCTCTGTTAGCAGACAATAGTTTAGATCACCCCTTTCCCAAAATGTCTAGGCTAAAGCATTATTCTCCTTACTTCTCCTTACTACAGTCCTCAAGGTGAAGGGCAACACTATTGCAGTTCTGCAGGACTACAACAGGCAGGGGGCTGTCTGTAAAATCCCAGTACTCCCATGGTAGGTTTGTGACAAAGACTGGTAGGAACCTAGCCCTGTTCTTAGCCATTGTCAAAAGCAGACCTTTGTAAGCAACTTTAACTTCAAGCTCTCACCTGTAATTCTGAACCCTTGAAGAAAGGAGGACTTCTTCTGAAGACAGGGACTACCCTTGTCCAGCTGGAACAGAAAACACAATTGCATAAGGAAAACAGATGGGCAAAGGGAATCTTACCCAGAGAGGATTGCTTTGCTAAGGTTACATATTTCGTTTAGCTACTAAAAGACTGTGTGAAGCTGGGGCTAAGCAGTAATTCTAAAACTAAAACAGCTCTAGTTGATGTGCTGCTTAGTAGTGGTGATGTTTCACTGTCTTTCAACCAGAGGAACCTTTGTCCTTACAAGGAAAACACTGTGCATAAATCTATTCTTATGCCACTATTCTTATGCTAGTTAAAACAAACAAACAAGCTGCTCTTTTCTCTGCAAAGAACAACCATGGATCTCTGGGACTCCCCAATGCTGTTGTGAAATGTTCCCACATATTGTACAAGTTGTCACGTGCTATCGGCTCCCTCCGCTGCAAAACCAGAGTAGCGAACACATGTGAAGTTGATGGGATGTTTGTGCAAAGTGGAGTAACCAATAGCTGTATGGAGTACTTGGTCTATATTGAAGTGTGAGACTCAAAGGTATAGGAATGTACCAAGTTGGCCATAAAGTTAGTGTTGTGTGTGGTGGGTTTTTGTTTGGGGTTGGCTTTTTTTTTTGGACTGCAGAAGGGACACGTGCATAGACCCTGGTGATGGAGTGTATGATCTGCAAGTGTCCTGTAGTGCAGTGATGGCAATTCCATCTCTGATTGCTGTCAGTATGTTTGGAAGTTAATGAACTGGATGGGAAGCCTCTGATACAAGTTTGCCCTCCTTCCTGTGCTACAGGGGTCTCCAGAGGTGAAGGCTGACTGCATTCCAGTCGATTGAACTGTTGCCACTTTGCCTGAAGCTTGTCTTATAAGTAGGTCTCTTAATTTGCTTAGGTGTTTTGTTTTCAGAGTCTAAGTTGGTTCAGTCTCACTAGCAACTGTTGGTTCAGCAATACTTCTACTTCCTCATGAAGAGAAACCAGGTTACGCCATGCTGATGTGGTGGTAATATGCTTTCTCTTCAACTTGTGGAACAGCAGAACTGTTCAAATGCTCAAAGCCCAGACCTTGGGGGATTGCCTGGGTGCACTGGAAAAGGGTGATCCTTCAAGCTACTGAAATAAACAACCCTTGTAATATATCAGTGAAGCTTGTCAGTGGTGTTTTTGAGAATACTGTGCTTTACAGTGAATCTGTTCACTTCTTAAAAACTTGCTGTTTTTTCCTCTCCAATACAGGATCTCAGTCTACCCAATGGCACACCTGTGGACACTTCTAGCCCAGCCTCCTCCTCATCTCTCCTCAACAGACTGCAGCTGGATGATGACTTGGATGGGGAAACTAGAGACCTCTTTGTAACTGTTGATGATCCCAAAAAACACGTGTGCACGATGGAGACGTATATCACATACAGGGTTACAACAAAGGTACAAAGCATCATTCTCCTTTCTGAGTAATTTTTCTTTGGGGGGGGGTTGTTTTAAGGCATGCTCTACATGTCTGTGCCTTACATTGTATTCCTGTATTTCAAGGACAAGAACTTAGTGTCTTTCAGTACCCTGTGAACATGTTGAAGGTGTGACTTCTCTTATCAGAACAGTTACTACTTCAGTATATGAAACTATGCAAAACTTCTAAAATGTCAGCTTAGATTTTTGCCTCTGACTCTTACATAAACCTGTTTATAAACTTGCAAGGCCAGTTTCTTTCATTAACTTCAAAGTGTTTATGTAAAGTAATCTGACACCCATTTGGTTCAAGCTACCTCACCTGAGGGGGGGTGTGCCTTGCTGATTCACTGTTAATCACTCTGCATTTTGTATCTCTCATTTTCTGAAATGCTTTAAGTGTTTACCCCACTTCCTCTATCAGCCACTTGCCTAAATCATAATCTTGATCCTCAACTGTAAACCAGCGTGCATGCAGTTGTTGGTACAGAGGTCTGTATAGCTGTGGCTAGAACTAAGAATGCTACTGCCTACCAAAAGAAATAGGCTAGAGATGTTTTTCAGCATGTGTTGTGGCTCAATCATTAATGCAATCTAATTGTACTAATAGGAAAAGTGATCTGAAAACTCCATTGCACTCACAATTGGAACACTGATTTCTTTTAATTAGCTTATTCTCATTAGCATCAGCTCCTAGGTGATGTTGACATCTGTTTTGGGCACTTGTAGTTACCTAAGGCAAAAAACGTTCACTAACTTCACTAGGAATATACTTGATCCACTTGTCCAAAAAGATTAACATTCCTCTGGCCTACTTAGATAGCATTATATACTGGAGAAAATATTTTCCTTTGAGATAAGGAAACTTTACAGGCCATGGATTTTTTTTTTTTTTTTTTTAAACCCATCTACTCCAAAGTTCCACTTTCAGGCTGCACAGAGAAAATGTGGTTTCTTTAAAATAGTAGCTGTCTCTTACTGCACATTTAATGTAGGCTTGTCATTCTTTGTTGCTCTAAGTGTCTTAATCTTGCAAGAAATGCTGTATCTTAACTACTAGAAAATGCTAAGAAGTATTGTAGGAAACTTTTCTACTTGGAGCAACTTAGCCTTCAGCTCTTACATGATCATAAGGAATAGGAAGCTCAAAATGAGATGCAGCTTCCCACAGGCAAATGGCTAAATTTGGCTAAAGTTGTTTCGCCCTTAAATTAAGACCTGATTATTCTGTCAAGGTAAAATAACTCTATGCAGCAGCACCCTAATGTTCCTCTGCTTGGAAACCTGTGTGCATACAGGGGTTCCTTTCCTTCTTAAAGCTGAACTCTGGAACCTCAGTAAGGTATTTACTGTATTTAGATCAGTTGTATTACCCGACAGTGTCTTTCTTTAAATTTAAAAAAATCTCATCCTGTGCTTCCGATTTTGTGTATCTACCTACCTGTCTGTTAATATTTGTTTTATTTAGGATCTCACTGTAGCACATAAATCTGCTATATCATGGCATTACAATACTGTTATGAAACAGTGCGTAATTTATTCTTAACAGCTACCATGAAAGCCTCAGCTGTTTGGGTTTATTATTCTTACAGAATTCTGTGTAACCTCTAGGGTCAGCACCTCTAGCACTATCTACCATTGTTTAAAAAAAAAAAAAAAAGTGTTTGGAAGACTAACAGTATTAATGGTCTGACTCATTCTTGCCATACAAACAAGACCTCTTTGATGCCAAGCTACTTGGCCATTGTAGCTAAAAGCAGTAATTAACCATGGCAAAAAAGTTGCACAGAAATAGTCCCTAGACAGTGATGAGGATGAGTGTTGATGCCTGCACCTCCAGGTTGTAGGTCAAAGTTCTATAGGAGACCTTGCTCCTGTCATCAGTGTGAGGCCATACCTTCCCACCACCTCCCTTGCAGCCTTCCATGAGAGAGATCTGAAACCTGTAGATGGCTGAAAGGGTCTTTGTAGTGGCTCTGGATGAGGAGGCAGGGATGGCTGGTTTTTTTTCTTTCTTCACTGAAGAATACTACTGGAACCTTAAAGGTTTGGATAAACATATATCCTAGAATGAGTTATGCTGAAGACTTCTTTGCTGTGAAAAGCAGCATCACTAGGTGGAAGAGGGGAACATAATTGCTGGTGCTGTAATGTGTGCTTGTGGCTGTGGCTGGACACCACCATAGGGTTGTTTCTTTGTTGTGTGCCTTTTTTCTTTAGAAAGCTTGTTCATTGTAAGAGCAAAAATGGGAAGTCTTGTGGTATGCCCCAGGCTTCTCATCTACTGATACCTTTGTTAGCAGGTGGTGGTGGCTGAGGAAGGGTCCAAAACAATGGCTTGCAAGGAAGTTGAGAAGAAAGCTTAAGAGTTTACTTGGTCCTGCTTGTGCCCCTGCTTTCATAGCTTCTTAGAAGAACCAGGTAGCATTCCCCAGCCTGTCCTCTGGATTAGCACATTTAAAGAACATAATGGGAATCCCAAAAATAATGGGAACAGTGATTCACACCTGGCTTTCTTGACTCTCTCATACCCTGTTTTCTGCTTACTAACAGTAGTTTTCTTACATGGGAGGATAGTGAAACCAAAAAGGTGGGTGAAACTTGTGCTGGAAATTAATTGGTCTTGGCTGGGATAGTTGAAGTGTCTCAGATGTTCTTGATGATACACCTTTGTGCTCTTCAGATAGACTGACTTGTACTGTAAAGGGATTTTATTGAGCAGGTCTTTCTGAGGAAGAAGGGGGAAAAGAAAGCTTACCCTTAAGTTATGTAGTCATCTCTCCTGAGGGAAACATAAGTAAGTGTACTTCTAACTTCGCTTTTGTTGTACTTTCTAGGATGGCAAGACCTTCTTCTGTGCCTTTTCACATGAAGGTCTGAACAACTGTGTGCCATTTCTCAGAGTCATACAGTTGCTCTACAGGCGTGAAGGGAGAGGCTTTCAGACCAATCAATACTGAAGTGGAGGTCTTGTTTTCTTTTTCCTGTCCTCCTGCTTCCAGTGCATGCACTGGATAGTTTACTCGAGCACATGAAACAGCTTGATCCCTAGAGAGGAGCAGGTGTAAGTGTTTTGATTTCTTTTTTCAACAGGCTAAACTATTTGAGGCAAATGGAGCTATGAACTGCTAGAAACACCAACCTTGTTCCCTTCCCCTCTCTGCCATTCTACTCTTTTTCTAGTTGAAAATTTTGCCTCCAACTTAAATAGTAACCTGGAGGGGAATCCACGGTCAGGTGTAGTGAGTAAGAGACTAGAACTAGGGTACATAAATACTATCACAGGCTAGCTTTAGGTTTGGCTGCTAAGTTCTTTCAAGAAAAACAAGGATCTTACAAAAGACCAAGACTTGATGATTGCCTTAATATTGCCTCAAGTTAAAACTTTTCCAACAGGGGTAAAAGTGTCTGTAACCCTGCTTGCTTTCCAGCAAGTGAAACTGAGCTTGGAATACTGCAGTGCGGACTTTGTGGAACTCTGTTGGAGTCTTCAATAAATCCCTGGAAGTGTCTTACCCATTATTTTTGGGAGGTTGAGATCTGCTACATAAGTTTCTCAGCTTGCTTTGGGAGATGCCTGTGTCCTTGCAAGGTGAGATTTATGGATCCTACAAGAAAGCAGGAGGACTTCAACTGTGTCAAAACCATAGATGTTTCACTTGCCATCCCTGGACAGTGGCAAGACCTTCTTCCCTTTTGTGTGCAGTCTGGAAAACGTAACTTGTGCTAAGCTGATGAACAGTTTCATCTGAGATCCAAATTCTTTCACACCCATTCTTCTAACACCCCGCGTTAGTGAGGTGTCATTAAAACCTTGAAGGGCCCTTATGTTCTGTCCAAATAGTCTCTGAAAAGCTGATTTACTGTCTAGATTTGACAGCCATACAGCAAACACTGAAATGCTGATGGCTAAGATGTATTTTCATCTGCCTCCCTCTGAGGAACAAAACCTGATATATGGAAAACTCTGCAAATCTGCTTGCAATGTAAAGGCAGCAGGAGCAGTTTGCTAGAGATGAACGATAACGAATGCAAAGTTTGTGCACTGGGAGTTATCCTGATTTCCTACTTCTAGACTAAATAGTACCTATGCTGTTTTCCTTAATTGTTAGCAGAATACTGATTAATAAGGTTCTCGGTGCTAGCAGATGGGAGACTTTACCTTCATCCTCATAGTACAGGATAAGACACTGTAGTGTGTATACATCCTGTTTACTTTCATTCACTCACTGTCTGTTCTCTTAAGAGGCCTTTATCCAGTGACAGCCAGTTCACAAAACCTATCTCTACTACTGCTACTACTACTACTAAATCATTACCTTTTTTCTGTTTAAGTTCAGGTTGTCTCCTGCAAGGCTGAAGCTGTACTATTAAAAGAACAAAGCAGTCAGCACCACTGGCTGATGAGGGCTGTCTACTTGTGCATGAATTGTCTTGTTCTAGCGTAACGCCGTTCAGTCTCTTACTCAGAACAAGTTAAAATGGTTCATATGAAGTCTCAGATGTTCCATTTATAGTGTTGCACTCTACCATGTTAGATAAGCTGGTGTTACTCTGAGGTGCAGCTGAGGAAAACACAGATCTGCAGGGGTTATCTCGGTCTTTGTAATCCCTCATCTACAAACTCAACAGCTCTGTTGGTGAGCATTCATTGTTAGTCCATGGGCTAACATGTATATCTCTTAGAATAGCTAGCAGGTCAAAGGAGAGAGGAGGTGAGCTTGATCTCTTTTGTCTCTCTATGCCTTCCTTTTCTAGAAACCAAACAATTTTGTAGGTAATATCACATTTACATACTGTTTATAGGAAACTGGAGCTGCTGTTCTGTTGATAGTGTGTTAAGGCTGCTGGCTCTCCCCTAGAATGAGATTTCTGGCATAGAACTTGTACTTGATGCCTGGTGGGGATTGGTGGGAGTGATGTGGAGTAACTGAAGAGTTGGAACCATCCAGAGAGCAAGTGAAGAGGTGGATTGCATTTAAAGGCTGCTACTTGGCTGTCTCCAAAATGTGGCAGTTGCTCTCAGTCTTGAAGTAAACACAAAATCTCTGCTGATATTTAGCAGTCAGTTGGAGTGGCTAGGAGTAGCAAAGCAACCTAGTGCTGGACACAGTGCCAGTTCAAAGCTGGGAGAGCTGGTGTGTTCCCCAGGATGCAGTGGTTTTGATGTCTAGCTGTAGATGTGTATTGTGTGGATGTTGCAGCATCATCTTTGTTGCAGGATGGCTTTACTGCCAGTAATTAAGTGTAGCTCTCTCAGCTTCTCAGTGAGCTGTGCCTCTCAGTGAGACATAATGGTAAGGGCCATCTACCCTCCAATCAGGACTATCGCAATACCAGACTCTTCAGCAGAGACTCCTGCTTGGTATATAGTTTCATTAGTGCTTTTAGGCAGTTGCAGTATGTGCTGTGCAAGCTGCCCCATGCGGTTGGCTTTCCAGGCTATGAACTGTTTGAGGATCAGATAATAAAATGTTTGTCAGCAGTTTCTCTGTATACTTACCTTCTGTCTCATATTGCAATGGCAAGCCTAACTTCTTGCCTTAAAGAATTAAAACTTTCAGGATTTAACTTAACGTACTGATAGCTCTAATCAGGTATACACAAACAATATAAACAAACTAATTTATTCCTCTCAGAACTAAACAAAAACAGTCTTTTGGCAAACCTAGCAATGGGTTACGTTCTAACCTTTTAGCCTTGAAGGAGTGTCATAAGCCTGTCACTTATGGGGCACTGGTGAAACATTTTTTCACCCACACTTAATGCACCTCATAGAATAAACAAGTCATTAAATAATCTTTGCTTTTAATTCTCAATGGCTAAAATAGTCTCATCATGGAATGAAGATTTCTTATAGTCTTCCCCACAAACTTGTAACTGCCAAAGAGATTAACATGGTGCACAGTACTCTCCTCTCCACAGACTCTTCCCATAAAGTTTATCTGAGCAGAACATGTAGTGAAGTACAAATAGATCTTAAGAACGCATCAGCTCCAAGTAATAGTTTTTCTTGTTGCTGGCTTTCCTACTGCTGGAACAGCCAGAGGACCTTTCTCTCATGCTGCTGCAAACCTGATTTTGGGAATGAGTCGCCATGCAATGCTTGTCTGGCCTCACCCTTGCCAGCGATGGCTGTACTGCGTTTGCTGCTAAGCTCTGAAGTGAGAGATTTTGGTGTATTGTGTTCTTCTTTTCCAGACCACGCGAGCAGAGTTTGATTTGCCAGAGTATTCTGTCCGTCGGCGGTACCAAGACTTCGACTGGTTGAGAAACAAGCTGGAAGAGTCTCAGCCAACGCATCTCATTCCCGTAGGTAGTAAGCAAGAATCTGATATTAAGGACAGTTCTGTATCTGTCTGCCAAGGGTGATATTTCGGTGATAATGTCTCTTTAGATATAAATATGGTACTTAATTCTCTTCTGGTGGATTGGGAAGAGCTTTCCATTCTTGAGTGATTATGAAGCTTAGACTTTCTTTGGTGGCACACCTGAGAGGTGAGATTTGGTGGCCTCCTGTAGGGCAATATAAGCAGTGACTACATTTGTTGTGGCATAAATGGAATATACTTCATCTGTTTGCTTACTTATTACATCTAGATTTCTGAGTATTTGAAGCTTATGAAAAGCCACACAGATACTTCAAGTCTTAGTTGCAGTCAGTTTTCAAGGTAGGCTTTTGAGTGATTTTAAAGACCATTTTAAAACTATTTGCACTAAAATTTAATAGCACAGACTTAAAAATCTTAGCCTGTGGCTTGGTACCTATTGCCTGCCCTCAGTAGGAGTTAGTTTAGCTAATAAGATTAGCTAAACTACTGCAACCCTTCATGTCGCTGAAGCTGGCAGTCTGACCACCTTATCTGATCTGAAGAGGTTGTTACTAGTCTTCAGCAGTCTGTTTTTCATGCTGTAGAAGATGTGAAAAGGTAGGAAGCCTGTGAGATCACCACCATCAGCTCTTCTGAACAAAGAAATTAAAAAAGGCCTGTAAGAGGTGAATTGTTGAGAAATATCAATACTGCTGGCATGACTTAGCTTGCCCATCTGAGGTGGGGGATAAGTTTCTACACTCTCCCTCCCTTCCTCAGCAAGGACTGGGCGATGTGAGAAGTATTCAAGTTAGGTTGTTCCAGGGTAGAGAGCTATTTAATTTCTCTAGGACTTGCCTCCAAGTGGAATAATAACTCAGTCTCTCAAAGATAAGAAATACTTCACAAAACCATGTGACAGCACTAACTGGCAGCAAATATGTTTACTGAGGGGTAGGAAGAAGAGAAGAGAGAGAGTGACCTTGCTGGGGTAAGGTGGAAACATGAGATTAATGTGTTAGCTGCCCAGACCCTCTTTTCTCCCTCCCTGTTCTCTGAACAGCTGGAACTATCGAGGTTAAGCTTCTGCAGATTCTTGAGTCTACTAACAGGCTGCCAGTCCTGCCTGAAGGCTGCAAGGCAGTAAATTATAGTCTAGTAGCAGAAGGTGCGTCACAGCTAGGGAATCAAGCTGCTTTGCTGTGACCTGGAATTCGTTGCACACAGAATGGCAAATTTGGCACAAATGGCTCTAATACTGGACATAAAACCAGCTGCAGAACGAGGCAATCTCTTTAAGTACCTCTCTTCTATAAAATCTGGAAGCATAAGTATGCACTGCCCTCTTCTATTGATCTATGCACAAATTCGCAGTTACGGAATTTCCTATTAATCTCTTCCGTGCAGTGGTACAGAGGGAATATTGCTGAGTGCTTTATGTATTTATTGCCTAGAAGTAGATGGGCAATAGAAGCTAAAGGCAGTTTCGGGTGCACTGTGACTCAAGTGTATTCTGAAAGGAAGTGTCAAGCCAATCTAAGAGTATCTGTAACTGGAGATACTGCAATCCCTGTAGGCCTTCTGTCTAACAAAATACTGGAAGGGGGTTGTCTTCCTAATTTCAGCGTAGTCATTCTGCCCAAAATCTTCTTGTAACTAATGATGTGTTTTGTCAGTGCAGCAAGTCATGATAGCCTACACTTAGGAGCCCAAACTAAATTGAATATGGGTTCCTCTTCATCTCTTTGCTTACTGATTTTTACTTTTTTTTTTTTTTTTTTTTTTTTTAATGATCTGAGACTTACTCTAACCTGTTCTTTCAAACAACAGTAGAGGTGCTCTTAGATCTGTTTCCAGACTGGAAAGATAAGCCTAATATGGCCAAGGATCATGTCTTTGGATAGTGATGTTTGGATACTTGAAGCCATTTCTGACTGCAGTGAACTCTGCTTACGTGTCACAGCAGGGAAAAAGTGGACTCTTAAGCTTGAAGACTATAAAGTAGATGAGTTACACACACCTAAAGCAGGGTATCGCTTGCTAGCTGCATGTACTGACTACTTGGGATGGACCTTAAAAGGTCTAAAATGTAAAGGACTATAACTACTGCTATAGCTAAAACTGAGTTGAACTGTAATAGAGGTGCACCCTTTTGTAGATCTCAAATGCTCAAACTTTAGTGATTATATTGCATATGTTTGGTTGAACTAGGGTTCTTTAAACCAGTCTTCTAGCTTATCCTTTTCCTCCTGCATATATGATGCTGAGGTAGCATCTTCAGAAAATACACAGTCCCAGCTGAAGTTTACAAAGCAAGGGAAGAGAGTTTATTCCTCCCTGAAGACTAGTGCACTAAGCATTGTTCTTCTAAAGAAGTCTAATTAGAGTGTACCTTACAATGGTTTAACTGGAATGACTGATCTGAACGCAAAGCATAATAAGATAAGCCTTAAATTATAAGAACCAAATACAGTGGTCATAAAGTAGCTGAGTTGCAGATAAGTCCTGCTGGCTGGGTTTTTTTAGGAGGTACAATATTCATGTGTATCCCACATCAGCTAGGGTACGGTGGGAAAGGCTTATGCATACACAATTACACATTTTTTTTTTTTCTTTTAATTACTTTTGTCAGATTTGAGGTGACAAAGACTCTTTGCAGAGGAGAATCCCGATTCCTGAATGGGGTGGAAATGGTTGTCATTGCTAGCCTAAGAGTAAGCAGATAATCTGTCTGGGCAGCCTGTTTTGTAAGAGTGAAGTGCAAAGAACAATTTTAAAACTTATTAATCTTAGAGTCGCTGCTGTGCGGAGAGAACAAAAGCAGATCTACTGGCAGAGCTGAGACTAACCATGCTGGAGCTTTAAGTTATCTTCCTTCTGAAGTGGTACTTTGTCTGGAGTCTAAGTGTAACAGGAGGGACTGCAGAACTAGCAAGTCTGGAGGGAGACTTTAGTTTACATGTCAGGCTTAAGCTGAACTGCAGAGATGAACTGGTGAAGTTGAAATAGGAGTAAGATAGAAGAGTAGATAAGTTGGCAGACCTTTGTCACTTACACGAACGTGCTTGGGAATGCTGGCTATGATGATGACCCAGCATGCAAGTGCTTCAGGAAGGCTTCATCCTGGACTACTTGGCTATTTGCTGTGTCAAGCCTGCTCGTCTGTCTTTGCTCAGTGTGGTGCTATCACCAAGACTATCAGCCTTCCATAGAAGGGCCCTGCCCAGGAGCTCTAAATTGTTCAGAAAGCAAGGGGGAAAAATAGAACTGTTAAATTTTCTGAGTTTCCTTGGACTGAGCAGCCTTGCTTCAACATAGCGGGTGTGTGCGTGCACATTGCTGTAGTGAATAGTGTGTGACTCCGATGGCATCTCCTTTAGAGCTGGAGCTTGAACATAGATAGCAGCAGGGAGGAGCACGCTAAGCTATACTACAAGTACTTAGTGTGAGTTGTAAACTGTCTGGGCTTCACTGGTGGGCTCTCAGCTGAAGCCACTTAGTAGAATTGCCAGCATTAGACCAGACCAGATAAAGGGTAATTCAGAGCATAGCTTGCATCCTATCTAATGTATGGTTCCCGTTAGCAAACATAACATTTCAGTTCCTGTTAAAACTTGGGGTTTGATTGCTTTATATGTTTCCAAATAGCAGAAGCAAGTTTTTGGTGCGTTTTGCTTGTCTCTGACAGCCTCTTCCTGAGAAATTTGTCGTGAAGGGTGTTGTTGATCGCTTTTCTGAAGAGTTTGTGGAGACAAGGAGGAAAGCATTAGACAAATTCTTGAAGAGGATAACTGATCACCCGGTGCTTTCTTTTAATGAGCACTTCAACGTTTTTCTCACAGCCAAGGTAAGCCAGTAACTTCTAAACATAGTTATTGACAGGGACGACAGAACAGGTACCTTTGCAGTCTGTTGCAATGAAGGTAAAAATGCATTAATAAAATGACATGTGCAGGTCCGAACTTCCCCTAAAATACCAGAGGGTTACTGGGGACCCTCAATGTTTTGTGTGACAGACTCATGTGTGTGACAACCGTATGGGTTCCCTTTGCTTGAAGGGAGAGGTGCTCTGCAGATTTACTAATTCAGTTCTCCAGACCTGCTTGTTTTGTATCCTCGTGTCTAGAACATACTCCTCTGATGCAAGAGAGGTTTGGAATTTAGAAAACTTCTTGTTTTTGTAAATTTTGTAAAATCCTCTTTTGGGAAGGAGGGAAGTGGGGAAAGCAGAGAGATCTCTTGCACAAAAGCTTGCTAATTTCTTGACTTTTTTTGTTGTCTGTGCCTTCTATACTGCTTGTGTTTGCTGCCCTCAAAACTAAGCGTGAAGACCTCATTCTCTTTTGTTCTTGGTCAACAACTTCATGCTTATCTTCTGCGTGCCTCATCCAGCAACAGTGCAATTTTCTGTGGCTGTTTTTTGACCTGCATTTTAAATAAGACTAGGAGGACCTACAGTCATGCTTGGGATTGACCTGATAAGTAAGGAGAGCTGTAAAAGCATGTCTTTGCAATGTCACATTATGCTAGCTCACTCAAATGTGACACCTAATTTGAGCTTACTTCAGGCTTGTGCTCTGCTTGCTGGTAATGTGACACTCCATCTCCAGTTCCCTTTTATTTCCTCTCCATGGTGAACTTCACTGATGAAACAAGCCAGAAAGGCAGAATTTGCGTAGTGCCTTGATAGTTAAATGTCAGATAGTTTTGTTCCACTTTTCAGCTGTCAAAACATGATGCAACTTTCTTAGCTGCTTATTTGTCTTCTTCTACCCTGTAAAATGAATGGAATCCTCAGTCCTGGGCAGGGCTTGCCTTGAGAATACTGAGCATTCAGGGAGGCATAGGGAAAAGGACATGTGTCCTTCTGCCTGCCTCTAGTGTTGGAACTTGCTGTATTGCAGTAGTGATGTTTCCATTCAGTGTGCTAGGACTTCAGAATTTAGATAATGCAGAAGGTCAGGAGACCACCCACCTCGTGGCTGAAAGAGAGAAACCAGCCTTTCTTAAAGTTCCCTGTTTGGACCAGTAACACACCTGAATGCTCGAGAGAGTGAGTGAGTGAATAATTTTGAGTTAAGGGTCTTTTTCTGATGCCTGCTTGCAGGTAGTACTTAGGAGAGGTGGAATGCAAGAGTCAAGGAACCACTGCTTTTAAATGCAGATGTAATTCAAAATTATAGTAGCTGCTAAGATGTCAGATTCTCTCAATCTGACTTACATCTGACATATGTAGAAGTACTTGGAAAGAATACCACACTACATGTTTTGAAGATGGCTGTTGTATTTTTTTTAAAGAACACTTAAGCTTTTAGTCTAGTCTGTAATACCATGTCTTGGTTATTGACCTCTACAGGTCTAGCTGGTTTGAAAACATCTCTTCCTCAGGCTGCAACCTAGTTATAGCTCTTAAGCTGTTTTGGGATGTTGAATAGTGACCCCTGCTGTAAGGAGCAAAATGCAAAATGGATGCGTTTTGCCTAAATAAAATTTTTTTTTTTTTTTCTGATGTGCTGTCAAGGTGGAATCCACTGAAGATTGTAGGTAAACAACTGTGTCAATATAGATTGTCTGAATGCTGATTTATGCAAAAATGTAAAGCATTGGTGAGGAAGTTTAAGCTTTCTCTGCAGGCAACATCTGACCCAGCCTGAGCTGCAGTCTGTCTTGCAGAAGAGCCGTGCTAGTCAACCCGTGCTATGCTTTTTCTGCACACAGTCTTCCCCTGCCTCCTGTCTGACCACACAACTGCTGTGTGGAAGCTGCGGACCAGATAGGCATGCAATATATAGCTCTGTACGAGGTCATCAGAGCCAGCTGGTGTATTTGCATAATGCTGATAATGTAGGCTATGACTTCAAAGTATGTGTGGATGAATGGCATGAACAGCATTAGTGGTAACAGAGCTGTTAATATCACTACTTCCTTAGTGATAGTACAAGAACATGGGAAAGTCTGGCCATGTGCAAAGGTGGACTACTTATTTATAATATCCTGGATAGTTTATCTCCATCTAGAGGTAGTCTTGAAACTGTGCTCAGCTGTACAACTTGTACCAAGTGAGGCTTTGTCCAGAGCTGCATGTCACATGTAATCTCTTGCTTTCATAAGATTTGATCCTGACTGGAAAGTATCCTTCACTGTATTGATCTTCCAACATGCAAGTGAAATATTTCTAAACTGGGTTTTGTTTGGTTTTGGTTGTTTTTTTTTAACTTCCTAGGATCTTAATGCCTACAAAAAGCAAGGAATGGCATTGCTGTCAAAGATGGGGGAATCTGTCAAATATGTCACAGGAGGCTACAAATTAAGAAGTCGGCCACTGGAGTTTGCAGCCATTGGGGAGTATCTAGACACGTTCTCCCTAAAGCTTGGTACCATTGACAGAATAGCACAACGGATTATCAAGGAACAGTTGGGTAAGGACACAAGGTGCTCCATCATAATACTTCACATCTGAGTGCTCTATCTCTTGTGCTCGTTGATGGTATGACCAAGACAACTTGCATCACTGATTCCAGGCTGTAAGGAGCTGCACACAGAGTAAAATCTAATGCCTCTTGTAGATTTAAAGCAGTCCCAAAGCCTAACACGGTATCTTATCTTAACTCAACTCCAATTATTTTTTAAATTTGCTTTTGTTGTTACACCTACTTTCTTACTGGAGTTATTTTTGGAAAGACTTTTGGGGAGGGGGGGAAAACCTGTATATTCCATCTGGAGGAGTACAGATGGAATTCCTAGATGAAGATAACCTTTACAGGCCTGTCTTAGCAGAACTAAGTTTTATATATGCCTGAAAAAAATTACTTTGACTACTGCACAGATGCAAGTGTCTTTGTACTGGAAGCTTGTCAGAATGGTCAGTTAAGCAGGAGGCAACTTGGGCCCGTCACGTCTGCAGCCATAGAGCTCTGTCTGTTAAGTTTCAACATGAGATGTGATTCCTGGGGCAGTTAATGTTTGCTAAGCTTAGTGCGTAGTTTCTCCTGTTTGGTGTGAATGTTTGCATATCCTTGTGCCTTGTTCTTACTCTGTTAATTTACTTTTCCATCTGCCTCTTGCAGAATACTTGGTGGAACTACGAGAATATGGACCTGTTTATTCAACCTGGGGAGGGCTGGAGGTTGAGCTATCAGAGCCACTGGAAGGGGTATCTGCCTGTATTGGGAACTGCTGTACAGCTCTTGAAGAACTCAGTGAAGATATGACAGAAGACTTCCTGCCTGTGCTTAGGGAATATATATTGTACTCTGAGTCAATGAAGGTAAAGAGAACTTGGTGGCAGGAGATACTGTCATTGTCTTTGTATGGAATGATCCATCAATGCGTTCATTCTTTCCAACAGCAAGAAGGGTTGGTGGTGGAAAAAGCAAGGAAGTAAATAATGCATTAAGTAGGAGGATGTTTTCATAATCAAAACAAAACTAGGTATGTTTAGTAGCAGGGTAATGCATGGGTGGCATTATCTATCTGCTGTGTTATTCAGTCAAGCTAAGGTCAGTAATGCTATGATGCACACAAAGTGTTGAAGAGTTGCTCCTTCATGAGAGGGGCAGGTAGTACTCTGTAGGAACCATCCTGTGGCTGCCTAAACTCTTCTGTTTGAATTGTTGAAGTCAGTCATGAAGTCATGAAGTCAGCCATGGCTCAGCTCTTCACTACGGGGTCAGTGCCTGGCCCTGCAGAAAAGGTAGCGTTAGCAGCTTCTGTCACTTTGTAGCAGGGCTGGGTGACTCCTTTTAGAACCACTTCTCCAGATGACAGAGACTGTTTTCTCTCTCATCCCCATACTAGGCAGGATATGTGTCTTGTGAAATTCTGTTAAGTTCTGCATACCAAATAACTGCTTAAAGATGTTGCTCTGTGACTCTTAATCTCTCTAAGAACTTGATACCTGACTGCTTTTGTGGAAGTAATACAAGCTACTTCAATGCAGTTTTTATGCTGTTGAAGTTAAGGAGCATTGGTAGTCAATCTCATTGCATGGAGAAGAGAATTACTGAGTTAAGTGACTGGAAACTGAAACCAAGAACTCTAGTTCTGCTGTTAGAGCTTTTTACCACATGCCAATGGCACAGTATGTGGTACACACTATAGGGTACTAACAGACAAATTCCTTCTGAGGGATCTGAGCCTGTTTCAAGGCTATGGTATGTACTGCTTTAGAGATCTTATAGGCTGTTGTAAAACCTACAGTCTGAACATGGTAGTCCTCCATCTTAATCGTAGTCCTCCTATCCTTCTCAAACTGAGAACTGAAACACTTGCAGATTTCTTTTCCCAGCTTCAGATGTCTAGTTGTATGGATCCTGTCTTGCATGGCTCAAGTATTCTTGCAGAAGGCTTTATATTAATTCTCTGAGTATATTCTTTGCTTTTGTATTGGAATTGACCCCAGCATAAACGAGGGACGTTTTCTTTCCAGGACTGTTAACACCCAAGTGTTGGTGGAACACCCTGATCTGTAGCTGGAAGCCTTGACCCAGGGGCTTCAGACCTACCCTTATTCTATAGGAAGTGGGGTGTGTGCATACTTATGAATAAACAGAGCATGAGGGTAGTGGTTAAAGCTTTTAACTCAGAACATCTGGCTTTTGATGCTACAAATGCCACGGCCTACTGGAGGTGGCATATGAAGTGGCAAGCTGAGTTGTGAAAGGTGCTTTTCACAAATATAGCAGGTGAAAAAAAATTTTTAAGCTAAAAAGCAAGTGTTTCTTCAGCTGAAGAGGTACTTCAGGCAGTTAAACACCACTTACCGCAGGGAGAGCAGCATTAATGACTTGCAGCTAGGCTACCTGTTGGCTTGGAGACAGCCCCATTCTAAAAGGACTCTTGTCAGATGGTGGCAAGGACCCTAAGTGCAGTCTCCAAGCCAACAGGTAGCTTAACTGCAACTCTTTAATGCCTCCCTCCCTGTGGTAAGTGGTGTTTAACTGCTCGAAGTACCTCTTCAGCTGAAGAAACCCTTGCTTTTTAGCTTAATTTTTAGACTGTTGACTTGGCTTTCTAGTGCGCTAAAGGTTTCACTCTTCCTGGCAGGTATTCTATGGTACTGAACATATTCATTGTGTTGGTGCTTTGGAACTGGTTGGATCTAGAAACCACAATTGCAAAACAGCAGTTAATAGCAAATCAGGATTATGCTGCTTAGTGTCCAATTTAAGCATCTCATTAGCTTTACTCTGTTTGAAAAGCGAGACTTAAAACTATTGCTAACCAAGGCAGACTGTTCCTATTTTCCTTCCTTCCCAAATTCCAAACCTGAAATCTCTCAGGTCGTACAAAGTGCAGCTTTCTTATGCTAGGAGATATCAGTCTGTTGCTATTTCTGCAGTAAGCAGCTACAGAACTGTCTTTCCAGACTCCATAAAACCAAGTAATTATAAAGGAGGCTACTCTTGGAGTGCAGGAGGCTTTCTGCTGAAAGGACTATCCTCTTCACTAGCAGTGCTGTCCTCTTCATCAGCTATGAGGCCTGCTTGTGAAATTAAAGTCTGTTTTGGTCTTTCAGAGGACAGCTTTTGGACAGAGTACTTGATGGAAGGTAAGTTTTAGGTACTAGGAGTTCAGTGCAACCTTGATGGCTTTCTCTGTTGCACACTGTATCCCAGGTGTAGGTATGGGAACTTGATTTGTAAAGCAGTCTCTAGCTGGGTGAATATCCCCTAGAGTAAGAACTGCCAGGTTATCTTCACTTTTTTAGAGATGAAAGTTAACCTTAGTGTCTTCCAGAGCACTCTTATGCTAGCCTGAGGCAACTGCACATGCTGGGGCAAAGCCCAGTAGTTCTGGTTGAAACAAATATTGTTTGACTCCAGGGAAGCCCCATCTCTGAGTTTGTTTGAAAGATCTGCAGAAGTAGGGAGAGGCTGGCATTGTGGGCTTGAGTTAAAATGTGAGCTGGTAGTGTCTGAGAGAGACCTTTTCTGAAACACAGGCCATGTATGAGATGGCCAGACAGTGTCTTGAATCCTGGTGCAGCAAGGCCCTTGTCAGTAAATGTGTGTTACCACATTTTTTGCAGTATGCTGGTGTTTCCCAGGGAGGCAAGTGCAGAGGATGAACTGCACTCCGCATAATTCACTGCTGATATTGAAATGTTATATGAACTCTGTATTATTAACACTACCAGAAAGGCTTATCAGATAATGTGATCCTCAGCTGTGTGCTTGGACATTATTTTTAATGCATGTTTAAAGCAAGCACCATAGGAATAGCTAAGTGTCTCTATAAAGGCATGCAGTAAATAAGGATCCTCTTGTGAGGTCTAGTCGTAGTAGGAAGCTATGTGATGTGCAAATGGCACAGGATTGCAATTTGAGAAAGGAGACTGATGGTAAACTTCTGAAATTTCTTCAGAGATAAAGGATGAGGTGAAATGTTTAATCTAAATTCAAAATGGAGAAGGACCTGCCTCACTGAAAACAAGCTAAGTCTTGCTTGTACAGGGTCCAGTGGTTTAGTTCTGCCCCCAAATAACTGAAATGTGGTGTACAAGTTTTTTCTGTTTGGTATTGGTTTCTTCCAACTTTTTTTTTTTAATTTTTTTAATTTTTTTCTCTGTAAGTGAGGCCTTTAACTAGTGGAAGTATTGTGTGGGCTGTGGTAAGTCTGGGAATACTTGTTACAGAGCTTTTAGGAGGAGCTGCTGAAGCATTAATGCATTGATCTACAGCTCAGAAGAGATTGCCTGGAGGTGCCAGAGGAAACACTTTCTTTCCCGTATGGGACAAGAGAAGGGGAAGGCCATATTTTTCTCATCACTTACAGGTCAGCCATTAATGGATATTTAAAGCTGTATTCTGAAGCATATTGTTAATGGTCCACAGTGGATGGACTTGAGCACTTAAGGAGAAATAAGACATCTGCCCTTTGTATCTCATCTGCCAATACCTGTTAATCATTGGCTACTGCTGGTACAGATCCAGCTTACTGTACTAACACCAGGCTCCTAAAGGCTCATTGCAATTGCTGGACACTTGCTTTTCTGAGAAGAAATTTCAGTTGACTCAGGTTCAAGAGGCAATAGAAAGTAGAAATACCTGTTAAATCTCTCAGGCTTTTGTTGCATAGGTAACCTCAGTCACTTAAGGGCTATTCCACATCGTTGCTTAGATTCCAAAAGGAAAGGGAACGTTGTGATTTTTCAAGCAAACACAACCAGTGGCATGCTTGCTTGCATCCTTTGGGGACAAAAGGGAGGGTTAAGCCATTGAAGGTGAATTTTTCAGTTCTACCCCGCCCCCCCCCCCTTTTTTTCCCTAAACCACTAGCAGCTTTGTGGATGGGGTGCCATTCCCACTTATCATGGACTGAGGTTTGTAAGAATATTGATTGCAACACCTCCTATCTCTACTCTAGAGCAACTGCATTGGTGACCTTCCGTTGGCTTAAGAGGGAGGAGGAGGAAAACGGTAATTAGTAGATACAATCTTTAATTAGGAAACAGATCTTGGCTAGACTAGATCTTAGAGGTCTGAGAGCTACTCTTTTAAACATAAACTAGTATGCAGCAGTGCACATACTAGTCCTGCTTCATTAGCCTTGTCTGAAACTCTTAAAATGACTAGTTACCTCCTTTTGCCTCAATGGGGTAATTCCTTCTGGGTGGCAGAATGGGAGACTTGAAGCATGAACTGGCCAAGCTGGTTGCAAGAGAAGTTCAAATTTACAGGTGCCTCTGCAGTGAGTGCTGGCCAACTTCCCTCTGAGCATTTTTTAGTAATAAATTTACATCAACTGAGTTATAAAAAATTACTTGTTGTTTCCTTGTGAAGACTGAAGAAGCAATTTGCCTACTCTTGCAGACACAGAACTGCTTATTTTTTAGTGATATATTCTTAAAAAGACTAACTTCTCTGGTTGTTTTTTAAATTGTAAAATTGTAGTATAACTTCCATGGAGATCTTGGCTTGTGGATGTACTACAAGATAAGGGCAGCGTCTTTTGCTCTCTGTTTTGTCATTAAAATATTTTACTGCTTGTGTAGCTCGCTCAAGCAACTCAGTGCTTTTCATGTAACTTGTGCTTTTCATAATTTTTTTTTTTAATTGAACCAACAACCAAACCCCACAAAGTGATCTAAAACCAAAGATTTTGTTCTAACACAAGAATGTAACAGCTTGCTTGAGGAGTCTTTGCAAGTGAGAAGGGAGGTGTAGTACCTTCTGAAGTGGCCTTCCTGTCTCTTAGCCCACACTGTTCTCTGTCTGCTGCTTGAGAGTATCAAAAGCTTTGCACTAGTCCTTGACAGCTTTCATGCTTTTGTTTATATCCTTTTCATGCTAATAATAGGTCAACTGATGAATTGAATTTACTTAGTCAGGGTTATATTTGTGGTTACATGACAGCTTCTATCTTGCATGCCTCCAGCTTGTCCAAAAGTTGAATTTTATCTGACCACAGCAGCTGCTGGAGAGCAACTGCTCTTTGTTTTTAAAAGCTACTCCCTAAATACTGTAAAATAGGATCAAGTAAGTCTGAAAGTCTGACTTAGAACTGAATTAGCAGTTAATCTACATCACTCTGCAGTTTCTAGCAGGCTGGGGAGGGAAGGAACAAGGGGATCCCTCTCACAGCTGTCTTTTCTCTTGCCTGTAGAATGTGTTGAAGAAGAGAGACCAAGTTCAAGCAGAATATGAAGCAAAACTGGAAGCAGTAGCCTTGAAAAAAGAAGACCGTCCAAAGGTTAGCACTTAAAACTACTCTATAAAACCAGCTTGCACTTACTTCCTGAGAAGAATGGAGAAACAGACCTTAAATTGTCTGGGTCTGGTGGCTTCTTTGCAGTGTAAGCAAAGATATGATAAACCCTCATTTTAAACGTAAACCCTCTGTTCTGGCAGAACAGAAGTTTGTCGTTAGCAAACTGGTATGAAATAAGACCTAGGTATGAACATATATAACCTGTCTAGCAACTTACTGATCTCCCACCATTCAGAGCAGGATGGCTCTGACCTGTGTAACACTTGAACCAACAGCTAGCAGTCACTTGGAACGTTTAGTGACAGGGACTGAAGCAGTGGTAGAGGAGTCCTTGGTGATTTAGCAGTATGTCAGCTAGCTGAGTTGAGGTCCTAGCCCTGGCATCGCTGAACTGTATTGTAGGACACCTGTTTTGACTGTGGAAGACTCCCAGTTTTGCCTGTTCTGCTAGGGGAGGTCTTCTGTGTGATGCTGAACAGACACAGCAGATGTCACTGGGTGACAGGTTTTGGCTGGGCTGGATGCAGAACAAAGCTGTCAGCTGGCGTGCTTATGCTGCCACCTGCTCTCTGCATGAAGCAGTGTGCAAGAGCTCCATCTTAAATCACTACAGCTTTAACCAACAATGACAACAGATTTTGTTCCCTCCCTCTACTTGGGGTTTTTTTTGTTCCCCTTCATTTTTGTGTTAATAAATAATGGATGACTTCCCAGTATTAGGATTACTGTACAGTAATCTTACAGGAGGTTCATTTAATGTCTTTAATCAATAAGCTAAAGAGAACAGAGCATAGAAATGCAAACTGGTGTTTTTCTGGTCTTTTGTCTATCACAGACTTTACAGGTACTGTGTGATGCTCTTGTATTTTGGTCTTTTGCCTGCCCTACTGCTGGCTGGTGTTCTGTGTACTCTTAATTCCTCAGTGTTGCTTTGTATAAACGGTTATTCTAACAAGTTGCATGTAGGACAGAGGGAACTAAATCTAGCAAATCCAGCAAGCCAGTTGAGGTTTTTAGGCATTTGACTCTATCAAGATCTCAATGCAGTGGAACTGCTGAACTTTGCTAATCTCTCGTCTACTGTGAAAAGCTTTTGTATCTCACCTCTCACTGGGATTATTGTGTAAAGCACAGCACTTAAATAGCTGTTTAAGAATTTTTTGAATACTTACATCTCCTCTCCAGAGTATAAGTGTATATTTTGGCAACTCCTTGTACCTTTTTTCATAACAAAAGTCTTTTGTGTTGGTCACAAGATGAAACTGAATGAACTAATAGCACTCCTTGCATGTTCATTAGATGCTAGCTTGCGTTTTTTGGATCCTTTCCACCTGGAGTGCATGTCCTCATCTGTAAGAGCTGGTAGCCCAGAGTTGTGGCTAGCAGCACATCTTGCATTCAGTGAGGTCCCCTAGCTATGACTCACTGGAAATTAAACACAGACAGAGGATCATGAGCTGGGTTATGTAGTAAACGGCACTTGTGTTCCTTTTGATGTATTTAGCTGATTTGTCAGAAATTATGTAAAAAAAAAAAAAAAAAAAAAGGCTTCCTTTTGGACCATGAAATGAGGGTTTATCACTACTTGTTAATCTCTTCCACTGGAGGGTATTCTGGGACTCGCTGTACACGTAATCAGATTGGCTTCACAAAGCTCTGTCGGTGTCATTAGCTCATCCTCACATTGAGATTATCAGCTCAGAACTTGGTGGCCTATAAATGCAGAAGACGTGTAGGGTTACGGTAAATGTCTGTCAGCAAATACTGCTCAGACTGATGAAGTTTACACCGAAGCACTGTGTGTGTGGTGTTTTTTAACACTAGTGTAACAGTATTAGCGCAGAATCTGCAGCCTTTCTGTTTCTAACAAGTATAGTGGTGAAGTGCTTCTTACCCATTTCTGACCCATGCTGGAACTGGTTTTGCAATAATCCAAGCAACATAGTGAAGTGCAGGCATTGTTTCCTTATGGTAAAATGAAGTCCACCCTCGATGACCTAATTTATTCTCTCTGCCTCAAGGCTTTGCAGTGTGGTGATCTATGGGAACAGTAAATGTGGCAGTGCAGAACTTGAAGTAGAAGGGGGACTATGAAGGCAGAAATGTCACTTACAGAGATTAGTTGCCTAATAAACACTGGATTGATTGTGCTTCAGGACCATTTGTTACTTGGTAATGATGCTGTAGAGGAATTTTTTTTTAAAAGTGGGCATGCTTATGTTGCAAGCAATGCTATCTGCACTTGACCGTGCTAAATTCTAGACGTGAGGCATACTTAGGCTCTGGTCTCTTCAGGCATTATGTGAAGAATAGATGTAGGTGCAGAACTTCCATATAATGTAATGAGGTGACCAGACTCGTGAATATATGCTCAGTTCTTGCCTGCATATACGTCTCTTTTCAGTTTAAATTGACTCACTAAAATAGCGATGGGACTTTCTTGAGTGTATCGTAGTTTGAGTCACTTGGTTTTGGGGTTAGGGGTTTTTTTGAGCCATTCAAGTAGCTGAGAGCAGCCACCAGTAAGAAAGTAGCACCTTCCCCCAAAGCCCAGTCTTCTTTCTTAGTTTCTGGTTGCTAGCTAATATTTAGTATCTCCACTTGTAAAAGCAGATAAAAATTGATGTTTCAATTTATATCCAGATTTGATGTTAGAACTATAATCTCTTTTTTCATTAACCTTGAACCTATAAAGTGCTTAAAAGCTATTAATTAACTTTAAATTTTTTTCAGCTACTGAGTTGCAGATTCTGCTCTGGGAAGCTGCAGCTTTGTAAGGAAAGGTATTTACACTCCTGAACAGGAGTGGTGCATATGCAAATACTGCATTCCTGATGCCTGTGGAGACTTAGCTGGAGTTCATTGCTGTTGTTCCTTAATTACAGCATGTGTGACCCATTTGCTGACCACTGGTTGTCCCTGAAGCTCTAAACTTGTACAGCCCTCTCAGCCTGAAATGCAGGAGAACTGGCTGTGAAAAAGAAGAGATTTTTTTTTTTTTTTATAGTTTCATTGTGGTTTCAGATCCTGGCAGAAGAACCAGGAAGTTGGTGAGTGCTTAGAAACTAACTTAACTGGATTGTGAAATCTTGACATGGTTTTGCTTCCAGACATCATGAGTCTTGATAGCTTAGCCTTTCCTGTTAAGATAGCAGAGTACTTATAAATATGACACAAGGCATACTTGTCTTGAGGGGACCATCTTCTAAGCCTTATAGCCACTGACTTGGTAGCTCTTGTCTGAAGCCTATGAGAAAACTTCATATCTGGAGTTGTAGCAGAGTGGATTCTGTAACCAGAAATACAGTTCTGTGAGCGGATGGGGAATGTGTGTAGCTACTGAAGCCCCAGGCTGCCTGTAATGTAAATCCAGTTGTGTCAATAAAGGGGTACTCAAATCCCATGAGCATGAAGGAGGTGCTTCCTGTCTTGAACAGCTTTATTGGAGAACAGATGTCGGACCTTGAGTATCAGTTGATGGATTACTTTAGGGATTGTCCCTAATCCACATCCTGGTGAACCAGAGTTGATCTGTTTCTGCCTAAATGGTGTACCTTGCCCAACTGCAAGGTAGTAGCACACCTCTAACTTCCTGTGTTGTTACCCATTAAAAGCTTCTTATATCGTCTGTTCATCCTATTCCTTCCTTCTTGCCCCTCAAAGAAAAAGGGAATTTCCTGAAAGTACCAAGGATGAGAGGAGCCATTACAAACTTCTGCAAATGTTCTTCATTCTGCCTTTTGCCTTTCTGCGACTCACAGCTTCCAGAGCAGAAGTTCACATCTCGTGTTGGTGCTAGAGCTCAGGGAAGGCTTTTCTGAGGTTATGGGCTTTTAGCCTTGTGCTTACAGGCTTCCAGTCTGTGTGGACCATGTAGCACAAGGAGAAGGGAGAGAAAGGTGTTAATGGATTTCCTGCTTGAAGAAACATTGCCTGGCAGTATACATGTTGTTAGCTAAAACGTAAGCAAAGAACACCAGCTTCTTGGGCCTAAAGAGTATCTACCTGGAGCTGGTGACTGCTATCATAACCCATTTACATCTCTACCTAGACTTGCAATAGACTGTCTTTCAATGTTTCTCCCATTGCTTACTTGTGATTACATGTCCAGTGTTGAGCCCAAAGGCCCATGAACTAATCCACAGTGATGATAATCAGTGTTTTCAGGCAGCCTATAAGGCTAAAAGCAGAAGCTAGAAACTAGAGGCTTAGGAATTCTATTCTGCAGCCATAGCTGATAACTGCTATTTGTATACTAAGTTGAGAGACAACACTGAGGTCTCTTATCCAGCTCTTTGGACAAAACTAAATGTTTGTTGTTTCATACACGCTGGTGTGAATCAAGAAATGCCTGGTGCAATTGTAAATGGGAAGGAGGAGAAAAGGCTTGTGCTGGAGCTGTAGTCAGGGTGCTCAGTTTGAGAATTAGGAACTGAGCCTAGTCACCCAGCACTTACACCAAAAGGCTTTCCCCTTCTTGTGCCTCTAGCAAGCTATTCCTCAGCCTGCCTCCATATCTGGCATGGAGATGGATGAGCACAACTGCCCACCACCTTAAACAGCAGAGAACAATTTAAGCAATCCTGTCTCCTTACTAATATAGGAACTGGGACTTTTCTCCCTGCAGCCATAACCGAGTTTATTCAGGGTAACTACTGGACTGTTGACCTTTCCTCTGTAGCTTTGCTCGGTGTGATTTGAGATAATTCAGCGACCTAGCACTCTGAGTGACGGTATCAATCTTCGTTTCTTTTGATGCAGGTACCCACAGATGTTGAGAAGTGTCAAGACCGAGTAGAGTGTTTCAATGCTGACCTGAAAGCAGATATGGAGAGATGGCAGAACAACAAAAGACAAGACTTTAGGCAGCTACTCATGGGGATGGCAGATAAAAACATCCAGTACTACGAGAAGGTATGTGGAGCATTGGCACAAATAAGAGTAGTTTGTTTTTCTCTGAGGTGGTGATAATTCTTCGGGAAATCTTGATACTGTCTTGAAGAAAAGAATCTTGGACATCTAAATCAGTTCTCTAGTGCTGTGGAAGCTGCTCCTTGTTGGCAGTTTAGTGTAATCTTTTGAGTTGATGGTTGTGCTCAAGTGATTTGCATGAGACTAGCATATGCCCTTTGCACAGCAGCCCTCTAACAGCATTGCATCCTGGATGCTTGTCTGTATTGCATTCTTGAATTGAACAAATTACTAAGTAGTAGTAGTAGTGGCAAAGAAAAGACCAAAATTGTGTGTTCTACTAATACTACCAGACTAGAAAATCTCTTGATTCTGCCTTTTATGAACCAAACTACATGAGTTAATGTACATCCATGGATCCATATATAGACTACACCTGGTATGCATAAATTATTTTAATCTCTGTCCCCTTGTGCATAGTTCTGTCCCTTATACACTAGTCCTGGAAATACCTAGTCAGGTACCTCTGCTCTTTTTCAGTTGGAGCATGTGTACCTGAGATTCAGTTTCAGATTATTTTTTTTTTTTAAGTGAAAGGGCCTTGACATTGAACTGCATGTGCTGCCAATCTAGTGTTTCTTCATGTCAGCGCTGCCCAGTGCAGTGGTTGATATATTAAACCCTACTAGGCTTATGCATGGTGACAACTTCATCTTCTTGCCCATTGCCTTTTTACACATCTATTTTACAAACTTATTCCTGTGCTAGGTTACCTCTGCATGCAATATTAATACGCGCTTCCTTTCCCACTTCCAGTGTCTGTCTTGTAAGTGTATTCATAACTAGTCACACAGAACTTCCTTCACCCTGGTCTCTTCTCTCTTCTGAGACTGCTGTGGAGGGAGGGATTAAAGATTCCATTGAACATCCAGCAGTGCCCCTGCAATTGATGGCTAAATCTTTGCATCTTAGTTTTACTCTTAGCTGCAGCAAGGAAGTTTTTTGATAGGAAAACATCTAATTGCTTCAGGATACACAACTAGAAATACTCTATTCACCTTCAGTATGTGGTGGATTGGCTTCATCTTTTTAGTTTGCAGCCAAACACAGTCTGCTCCCTCACCTTCCTTCCCTCCTGCACAGAAAATTGGAAAGAAAAGGGCGAAGAAACTCACAAGTTGAGATAAAAACTATTTACTAATTAAAATAAAATTATAAATGATAACAACAATAATAATAGAATATACAAGCGAGTGATGTATAGTGCTATTGCTCACCACCCACTGACAGATGCTCAGCCTGTCCCAGCCAGTGATCCCAGAGCTGAGGCAGTCCCCAAACCCCAGAAGAGAGAGACTGAGCGATCCCCAAGAGAATATCCCTGATTTCCTGTCAGCCCTGGTTAATGTACTGACATGACGGGATATGATCTGGAATATTTCATTGGCACATCCAGAACCAGTTTTAGGTTTTGCTATTCACTGCGCTTCTCCCTCCCAGTCCTGATGCAGCTGTGAACCAGCCAAACATGGAGAGCTCCAGCAGCAACTAATAACATTAGTACTTTTATCAGCATTCCTCTCATAACAACTTCTACACTGAAATTAAAACACAGCTATTCTAATTACTAAGAAGAAAACTAATTCTATCCTAGCAAAACCAGGACATAGTACAGTCAGCAAGGTTAGAAGGAAGATGCTTGACAGCTGTGACTGGTGGATATAAGAGCTGGTGGTGAGTTTGCCCATTCCCAGTGTTTAATAATATGTATTCCACTGTCTATATTTGTCCAGTTTAACTTCTGGGCTGTACATGGTTGAAAGACAGTAATGATACACATCACAAGGACTGGAGTAAGTATACATGTCTGGGGAAATTACTCTAAAACCTGGAGTGACTTTTTAATAACCCAGAAGCTAGCCTCCTCTTTTATTTTACTATAGCAAGCACGCACTACCATTTCGTCATGCAGTGGAGTCAAGTCCCAGAGGTGTACTGGAGTACGCTGTGTCTCTGAACTACCTTCCCTAAATGCATAGGATTTTCAAATAAGTTTGGCTGGAGGTAGGTCTATAACAGCTGCCATTGTGTGCAAATCAGCCCTCTCCCACAGTCACACCACAAAGATGTGAATTTCTACTAGAAACAGTTTGTCTGCCTAGCTGAAAACTGTGTTGTTCTTCAGTTTAGAAGAATCTAGCTTGATATTTGGAAATCCTGGGTATTCTGATGATTTTTAATGGCTTGGGCCAGCTGATGACTTTGGAAAGCTTTAATTCATTATCTTTGTTTGGAAACTGCAGCTGTTCTCTCTGAACACTTTTTTGCAGTTTGAGATTGTTTCTCCTCCTGCTTCTGTAATAATCTATGAAGATCCAGCTAGCTAGCCCTTCTGAACTTGCATTCTCTTGGTCTGTAAGGGTTGGTCAAAAGTTACAAGAACTGGTGTACAATCCATTTTTTTTAATCTTTACTTCTTTCTTCAGTGCCTTACGGCGTGGGAGTCAATTATACCACTATTGCAAGACAAGCCAGAGACCAAATAAGAAGTACCTTCATGGACAGTCTAGCACTTCTACGCTCAGTACCACTAGACATACTGGAACTGTATGAAGGACTCCTTTTGTCAAGCTAACTGAAATGCCAGCTGCACTTAAGCTGGAACAGACACTCTGAAAACTATCTGAATTTTTTTTTCCCCTCACTTTCTGTGTTTAAACTGGGGTATGTTTCATCTTTTTGAGTTATCTTGAATGGTTCCTTCTTTATCCTATGGAGTGATTGGGGGTTCATAGTGAAAGTGCACGGGGATCTTGATAAAACTTACCTCTCTAGTCTGGAAGGAACTGATGAGTGGAACACTAAAAAGATGAAAATAAAACTCTACTGCAAGGTGCCAAATGACATCTTTATTACCATTCTGTTTTGTTTGCTAAAAAAAAAAAAAAAGAAAAAAAAAAGATGATTATTCCTATGATACAGTACTTCCTAACCAATCCTTATTGCTTTTTTTGGATGGACAGGGAAGGTCTGGAAATGAAAATTTTCTGGTTTGCTACCACTTGTATGCTTCCTCTGGATAAAATGGTTTCTGGAGACTTTTCTGTGTGGGAGTTGGGCTATTCTTCAGCAGAACATACCAACACCACCTGCAGATATCCTGTGATGCAAGCATGAACTGTGGTTTTGTGAGTGTGGCATGCTGTTGGTTCATACTGAGTATCTTTGTTTACCTTGGTGATTATGAAGTAAAGTCAGTTGGCTGAAGTGTACTTGTGACTGGTGTGGGGATCCAAATCAGCCTAGCTGCTGGAGTGAGCTGAACAGTGGCCTCTTGAGGTTTATGGGAACGGTGGAAGCAAGTATGAGTCTTTAGTGTATTTTTTTCTGAACCTAGCTCTGGAAGTTGCATGGTAGAATTCTCTTGGTCCATGCTTTAAATGTTTTTTTTTCTGAACTAGAGCCATTTTGAGCTTGGTCACTTAAGGTGCTGACTGTAGTACAGGTAGAACTCTGGTTTCTCTCCCCATGTTTTTTTGCAGCAACCAAAAGCCAAAAAATGTCAAATGCTTGCTTACACCAAGCACCATTGTGTGTGAAACTTGCCTTAAACAGGTTAGTGGGGGTAGATGAGTATCCTGTTAGGTACACAGTGTTCATACCTGTCTCTACTGAACCATGTGGCAAGTCTTTTAAGACTACTTTTGGTACAGATCTATTTTCTTAGTAGATTTTATTGGCCTTTAGAAATGTAACTGCTTCTGCAAGTCCCTTTTTATCTCTTTCTCTTGCAGTCCAACCTCAAGTAAATGCCTGCTTGGTGTTAATGGCCTTAGGAATGCTGCTGTGATTCCCAGGATCCCGGAGTCTTGGTTTAACAGCATGCAGTTAAATCCTTTTTAAGCATCCTAAGTGAGGGGATTTGGGGCTAATATCAGTGTAATATTAGAATTTGGGAATAAATAACTCTGAGCGCTTACTGCTCGAGTGATTACTTGCTCTCCAGGAACATTCTTCTGAAGAATCTGAGCAGTAATTGAGTGTGTGCAACCTCTCTGTTCTGCTGTGATGACCTGCCAGGTACCAGTCTGGTTTGGACTTTACCCTTTCATAAACACCAGTGTACCTGAAGCCTCAGCTTAGTGGCTTTATAGCAATATTATTGCAGCAATGTGGTAGCTGTCAGGCTAATGAGATGATGCTCTCTGGGTGCAAAAATAAAGTTTAAGACATTTTAAGAGGTCTTCCTTTCTGACTCAGCCTCTATTGACAACTCTGTGGTACTAAGCATACTATACTTTTTGGTTTAAGCTCATAGTTTATCAATGTACACTTACTTGGTGTAAGCGAGAACTCTCTAAGTTGCTGTCGGGTCCAGAATGACCAACTACTCTTGTTGTGCAAGGGAAGTGCTTAAGGGGATCATCTTGAAGCAGCAACCAATTGTTTTCCTCAATCTTTCCCTTCTAAAATAAGCACTTACATACTGTTTAACAGTCTGACCTTCATGGTTACAGTCTTTTGTTTCCCACAGAGATCAACATGCTTTCTTTGAGCTGGTTCCTGTGTGGTAAATGAAATTTTGTAGTTGACTCTGCAACATCACGGGGAGTCAGGTGAAATGTAATTTGAATTAATATTTAGACAGTCTTCCCTTCACCTTACCAAAAAAAAGTGAAAGATGAGGATAAAGGTGCCTACAGGTGAGCAGGTTTTGTCTGATGCCTTAGAACACCTGAGTTCCTGTTCCCTTTCAGTTTTACATGAAACTGAAGTGGATGTTGGTTCTGGGGAATTTAGCAATTAACATCACAACCATTCATGAGGAGCATAATGGACAGTGGGGAGTACCAAATTAAGTTCAAATCAACATGTAACTGTTGAGGCTGGAGCTGATGAAGATCAGCTTAAGTTTTCTTTAATCTGATGCCACTGATTCTGCAACATGTTTTTTAAACTAGTCCTCAACCAAAGCATGTTTTGATTACAGACGAATGCCTTTCTGGCTAAGCTGTTGAAAGGCAGGCACGCTTTGCACTTCCCTGTTGGACTATGTGGCTCTGTGGCACCTGCAAGTTGATTTGGAGGAGAGGCTGGAAGATGTTCCTCAGGTTGTGGCCACTAAAAGGATTTCTTATATGCTCTGGAACACCAAAACCTCTTAAGTGAAGTAAAAATTAACATTCAAAAGAGGAGTCCTCTGCAAGAATTGCTGCAGTGTAAGAAGGGTGTGGGGAGGATCCTGACCGTGAGGAGGTTTGGGGCAGCAATGCCAAACAGGAGAACTACAAAACAGCAGGAGACTCTTGTAAGATGTAAAGAGTGCACTTAACTACTGTTAGTGGGAGGCTGCAATCTGACCTGTTAGTGAAACTCTGACATGTTATACTATAATCCTGACAGGATAGGAATCCCTCTGTTGGATGGCCCAAATGTAAAGAGTGTGGAAAGTAAAAGATGTTGGTAAAAGGAAGCAGGAGTAGTGCAAGAGCTTCATCTTTGAGTAACTTCTTGAGTGTTCAGTCACTTCAGGTCATCCTTTGCGCATGCACTACAATGACATCAAAAGTTGTTGCACACTTTTTACAAGCCTATGTAACGTGTGGGTCCTTCAACAGTCTTTAAATTAGCCCAAGTTTCCTTGTAATTCATAGCCAGACCAAGTTCCATCTCAGAGGCTGCATAATTCACTGCTGTCCTGGTTACTTCTGTGTAATTTCTGGGATATTTGTTTCTTCTCTGAACTGGCACCAGCACAATAAAGCAAGCACTGAGATCTTCTTTTCATGCTCACGGTAATGAACCGTGCATTGTTTGTATGTATCCTTACCAGGTTCTGACTCTTGCAATAAACATGGATGTTGAAACATCACGGCTTTTTCAGGTATCCATTGAAAAATGAAAAGGTAATAGGTGTAGCCCTAAAGACATGAACTCTTCTGATGCGAGTTGTATCAAAGAATAAACTATGGATTCTTCACTGAAGTCTACTTGGATTTTTGTCGTGCTGAGACTTGTGCTAGGATAGAGTAGGGGGATAAGTGGTAGAAAGAAATATCTGCAGAGAGGGTCCTGCGGAGGCACTGTGAGGTAGCCCTGCAGCAGTGGCTCTGCACAGCCTGTTCATGATGCGTATTGCTTCAGGTGTCGGTCCTGCAGATGCCAAGGTACTAAAGATTTCCTTCCCAACCCACTGGGGGACTGTTCAGTGTTTTAACAGGAGCCATGCTTTTGTTAAAACTTGCACAATTTAACTATGATTAATATTGCAGACTGTTTAAAAATCCTGGTGCTGATAACCACTGAGTAAAATTACATAGACTGAACTAGCTCATTAGATGTTCAACCTTCCTAAATTCTGAAGGTAGAACAGTCTTTTCCTTGGTATATTAACTTTTACTACAAGAACCAATTAATATGGAAAATGGGATCTTTTATTAAGGTAGGAACTTGCTACTAATTGCCAGATTTTTTTTTTTTATTTTATTTTATTTTTTTTTTTAGTGAAACTGGGGATCACAGGAATAAACTTGCCTTCTGGCAGTGTGAATGTTGCATTTTAAACTTTTTGGGAGTACTGTTCAACCAATTGTACAAAATAAAATGGCAGTGCTTAATTTTATGCTTAGTACTTTGGAGTCTTGTTGGGGTATCTGACTTGTACAAGTCCTCGGTAATGAACTGGGCTAGTTTTAAGGTCACATAGCTACTTGTGCAGAAAATAATGCGTTGTCCAAAAAGGCAAAAGTAGATCACCTTTATGTAAAAGCAGGCTAAAACGTTAAAGGCTAGTCACTATCCTAGACTACTTTGAAGGCCTTAGTACTCCATGCTTTGAAACTAAACCATTTCCTGAATTCTGCTGCTGAGATATGTATCCATACCTTCAGATCTAGCAGCAGGCTTGGGGCCAGTGCCACATTCCCACTGCACGGGGAGACGGGTTGCAGAGGGACAGTCTTACAATAGCAAACAGCCAAAGGGCTTTTGTCTTTAGTATGTGAAAATAAAGCAGCACCTTCCTTGTTGTCTTTTCTTCTGTGCCTACATCCCTCTGTCCCTCCTTAAGGTTTGGAGAGTTGGGCTGTGCAGGTGTGAGCAGAGGTGGTTCTCATCCCCCTCCTTGTTGAAGGTGTCCATACTCGAGACCAAACCAGTCCTGGCTCATTGCCCAGACTCTTCTGCTTTCAACCCCTGTAAACCCACTCACCAGAACTAGAGTCACTGTTCATACCATTAAAAACCGAAATGAAAGCTGTGAAAAGACTTGTTTCTGTGTGAAGTAGTTAGTAAATGATGTAAAAATGGGAAGGAAGTTTTTGTTTCCTGCACTTGACCAAATCTGGCAACTGTGCTCTTGTTCAGACTCGCAGGCTATGAAATGTTGTCTTGCCTTCTGGTGCTGGCATGTTTCTATACCCTTTCATATATCTCTGTATAAATATACTTTGTGCATTGTTTACTATGGAACTAGTATTGATGGAGAAAAACATTTTGAGGTAAAACTGTTTGTAATTCTCTATTAGTGTGTACATTTTTTTTAAAATGCACCATTTGTTTACCTCAATTAATTTAATGGAATGGACCAATAAATGTATTAAAAGATGACTCCTTTACCTAGAATATAACGTTTCATTTTTTGCAGCTTTCACCATTGAAATGATGTGTGCACTCACTTTGCCGGGCAGCTCGCTACCTTACTGCAGAAATACTCTTCCCTTAAAAATCTTGTTCCACTGCTGCTTTTAGATGACTGAAAGTCATCTGTCTGTTGCTGTAGTAAATCTGGTATTACTTGAAAGTGAAGCCTGGAGCT